CTTGGTGCCCTGGCTTAGTACGCTGGCTTGGTGCCCTGGCTTAGTACGCTGGCTTGGTGCCCTGGCTTAGTACGCTGGCTTGGTGCCCTGGCTTAGTACGCTGGCTTGGTGCCCTGGCTTAGTACGCTGGCTTGGTGCCCTGGCTTAGTACGCTGGCTTGGTGCCCTGGCTTAGTACGCTGGCTTGGTGCCCTGGCTTAGTACGCTGGCTTGGTGCCCTGGCTTAGTACGCTAGCTTGGTGCCCTGGCTTAGTACGCTGGCTTGGTGCCCTGGCTTAGTACGCTGGCTTGGTGCCCTGGCTTAGTACGCTGGCTTGGTGCCCTGGCTTAGTACGCTGGCTTGGTGCCCTGGCTTAGTACGCTGGCTTGGTGCCCTGGCTTAGTACGCTGGCTTGGTGCCCTGGCTTAGTACGCTGGCTTGGTGCCCTGGCTTAGTACGCTGGCTTGGTGCCCTGGCTTAGTACGCTGGCTTGGTGCCCTGGCTTAGTACGCTGGCTTGGTGCCCTGGCTTAGTACGCTGGCTTGGTGCCCTGGCTTAGTACGCTGGCTTGGTGCCCTGGCTTTGAATAATCAGTCATATCCCCCACAATGAATTTCCCAGAAGTCAATACAAGTGTAAATATTTCATGACTTGAATAAGCACTGTAAAAGTATATTTCAAAACAATCTTTATTTAACATTAAAATGGTATAAAATACCGACAGGTTGTTAGGTAAGACACATATGCAACAGTTAGGTATCTTTATTTCGAAACGTTAATTAGCATATTGTTTCATACTATGGAACAATGCTCTTCTCCAGACTGAGGGACTGACCACCTCAAAACTTTAAGGGTGATGGACTGATTACATCGTCTTCAAGTATCTTCTGCTTCTATCAACTTTTCTGTACTTGACTGAAGAAGCCTACTGTGTAGGCGAAACGTTTCATAATAAAGATACCTAACTGTTGCATATGTGTCTTACCTAACAACAATCTTTATTTAATAAAAATATGTATACTTTATTTCTTAATGCTAAGATATTAATAATCGTTTTACTGGAAATAAGCCACACTGCTTGGCTTTCTTGGGTTATCCTGGGTTACTAACGCCTCGGGGTTAAAACTCTGTATATATATTTTCCTCTCAAACACATCGAGAGGTATCCACTATATAGACTCGGAATACGAACAAAAAAGGTGTACTGGATCTCTAAGTAGTGGTTTACCATCAACAATTTTCACGTCACTTCAAAACGACTAGTCAAAAAAAATATGTGAATGATGCTGTCAGTTATAACAGCTAAAGAAGCAAATTATAAGAAAATGACAGAAAATAAAACTAGAATTAGAACATGGTTGTTAGAGTGTAATCTACAGTTGTAGAGTTAAAACCATGTTGTAATGTAATTTTTTCAGAAAAAAAGCACAGTTGAAGTATAATTGTACAAAAAAAATACTAAATTATGGACGAGGATAAACTTGAAAAAAAGCAGTCTTGAAAATGCGCAAAAAAAAAAAAACATGTCTGGAGGAAGAGGTAAAAATTTGTGTATATGACCTTATGGAGGCTGTCGTGGGGCTTTAAATCCTGGCTAAAAAAAATCCGTAGGTGATGTTTATATGTGATTCTCTCTCTCTCTCTCTCTCTCTCTACTAAATGAATATTGTTGGAATGAAAAGCTTTTGTGTATATTAAGAGAAAGTGAGTGAGAGAGAGAGAGAGAGAGAGAGAGAGAGAGAGAGAGAGAGAGAGAGAGAGAGAGAGAGAGAGAGAGAGAGAGAGAGAGAGAGAGAGAGAGAGAGAGAGAGAGAGAGAGAGAATTTCTATACACCCACTTGTACAGTTTTAAGGAAAAAGTTCAGTGGACAAGAATTCTCTCTCCCCTGACCCCTGCTGACCCTATGTGACCTATGACCCCATCCATCCCCCCACCTCCCAGCACCAGGTGTGTGGAGAGCTTTGACCTGGTGACTGGGGGAGGGGCTGACCCCCATGATGACGGCTAATTAACATACTGAATTCATTAGTAAACTAGTGAGACTATTTTTATTGCAGATTTGAACGCCATTTCAAGTTAATGTATACAAGAGTAATGTTGCGAGAGAGTAATAATAATAGTTACAGGTATCCCTGTATTCTATAGTCACAGCCTCCCCTATCTCAAAGCATATATATATATATATTATATATATATATATATATATATATATATGTGTGTGTATCAACATGTATAGGTGTCCTGTATATGCAGGTGCGCATGTATCCGTGTACCTATTAATACTTTTGCCATATAAATGAGTGTGCGTATATGTATAATAATTTATATTAATACATTTATAGAAATTTATCATAAAACTAATGTCTTAGGAATGAATCAAGGTAATGGTGTCAAAATAACACCATGGTGGAGGTACGGAATATTTATTCTCCTAAAATATCAAGTCTTCCACTGAGCAAGAAACACTGCGTTTGAAGCCTACCAGACAAGGTAGGCAGTGTAACAGTTCCAGGTTTTGTTAACAATATTAGTATATTTGCACTTACACAGCCTAAACTTATACAAGATATTATCCTTCTCCCTACTACCACTATTCCCTCCTCCCATTCTACCAATCCCTGCCCCCTCTCATTTTTACTCTAACTTTCCTCATTTCAGTCTGACTGGTTAGTCTAGATTGGACTATTAACTATGGGCTTTCTGCATGCACAAGCAAATGTCATCCATCTCTGTACGAACATTGTATTATACTGAAATAAAATTACTTTAATTATTACTATTATTAAACCTCATAAATTTCACTTTCGTGGGTTCGGTGGCCAAAGCTCTCGCTTCACACACGGAGGGCCCGGGTTCGATTCCCGGCGGGTGGAAATATTTCGACACGTTTCCTTACACCTGATGTCCTGTTCACCTAGCAGCAAATAGGTACATGGGTGTTAGTCGACTGGTGTGGGTCGCATCCTGGGGGACAAGATTAAGGACCCCAATGGAAATAAGTTAGACAGTCCTCGATGACGCACTGACTTTCTTGGGTTATCCTGGGTGGCTAACCCTCCGGGGTTAAAAATCTTAACTGGCAACCTGATGTTTACTCAAACCATTAACCAGGTGAACCTTCCGTTGAGGTAAACACTAGGTCATCATGACCTACCCACAGCATGGCCCACACTCATGCCCACGAGGACATGACCCATGCCATATAACTAGACATTTGCCTCATACTGCTCTCTAATGAACACTGCACTCTGATAAGTAACCCAGGAAGGTTAATAATCCAGGATAACACAAGAAAGGCAAGCAGTGAATTATTATTATAATCAAAAAGAAGCGCTAAGCCACAAGGACTATACAGGCAAGCAGTGAAGCTTCTGTCAGGGGTCCTGTTTTAGGTACTTCTGGATGCGACCCACAACAGTCGACTAACACCTATATTTGCTGCTTGGTGACAGAAGCAACAGGTGAAAGGAGATTTAGCCAAATGACTAACCTTGCCTGGGTATTAACCCGGGTTCTCTCAGGTGGGATCTGAATGCCTGACCACTGAGCTACATGTCGCCCTGATCAACGAGGGAGTGTTTTAAAACACAATCACAGTAACCATCCATCATGGCCAGGCGGCCAATAAGCCCCTCGGTGTCTTCCTTGGGCCAGCCATAAATAAAATTGGTGCCCCCAGACGTGAGCTCAGCCATCTGTGCATAATTTAACTCCAGCACAGGCATCGGGAAAGGTTCATGCCAAGCTCGATTCCCAAGCAGAGATACAAGTCTCCCTTTACCTGCTGCCTCTGTTCGCCTAGCAATAAATAGGTACTTCAAGAGTTAGTCGACTTCTGAGTGTGGCATCCTGTGTAAGGAGATGTATAGGTACGTCTCCTTGTCCTTGCTGTCCCTGTTCATTTAGCAGTTGATATATGCGTGTGTGTTGGTCAGTTGTAGGGCAGGGCGAGTCTCTTAACATCTGCTGTCTTTAAGTAGTAAATAGATGTATCTAGAGAGGGTTTCGGGGGTCAACGCCCCCGCGGCCTGGTCTGTGACCAGGCCTCACGGTGGATCAGGGCCTGATCAACCAGGCTGTTACTGTTGGCCGCACGCAACCCGATGTATGAACTACAGCCCGGCTAGTCAGGTACCGACTTTAGGTGCCTGTCCAGCGTCCTCTTGAAGACAGCCAGGGGTCTATTGGTAATACCCCTTATGTATGTATAGGTTTTAATCGAATGTAGCTCGCATCCTGGAGGGAACACCAACACGAATAAGCTATTATTATTATAATCAAAAAGAAGCGCTAAGCCACAAGGGCTATACAGCACGAATAAGCTATACTACTATAATTTGGCGAGTTATCCTCGTTAACAACCCTCTGAAATTAAATAACCCTAAAGGTGTTATCTCGTATGGTATATCGTGGGTCAGTCTCAGGAGAGGCCTATAATAATAGGCCTATAGAGTATGTTCGGTCATTATTTCTTTGTAGCCTACACTGCTGTAGTTGCTGGGCTGAACTACTCTGCAGATGCCGACTAAAACCATTTGTCATTGTGATGTAAAAGCCTCAGATGAGAATTAAATCTTTGACTTGAGGTTTTCCATTTCACAGCTGTTTTCACCGTTACTTGTGTATGCACTAGGACAACACCGTCCGCATGTTTCTTAAATCAACCTCTAAGTTAAATTTACTTTGTAATTACAATGGCTATATTTTAATTACTACTAGATAAGTTGTAAAGAACTGGAATTGTAATAAAAAAATCAATAAAAATGAGTTGAAGGATAACCAGATGAAAGATAGGAAGAGGCGAGAGTAAACACGCACTGGTAACTCCACCATGTTGACGCTTAGCCATAACATGTGCATTATTTCAGCTTCTTCAGCGCCTTAATTTCCATGTTATAGCTGTGATTTGGGAGATAATCAAGCAAGTCAGTTATGAAACAATAACGGTGGGTACACCAGCCAGTAAAACATAGCATAACTTGGGTCAACAGGAGTGGAAAAGATGAGGGTGTCAGACTCTCACCTTGAAGAAACTCAGTTTGCTGGCAGCGGTCAAGGAGGTGGGTGTGCTGGTTGCTCCTCCTGTCACCATACATAAACCACTCATACACGCACTGTATACACACTTACTTGTTGCTTGTAGGTCCACTGGGCTTGTTTTAGCCTGTGCCGACGACACAAGCTATTGTGGGGTGGAAATAATACTGGAAAACAGTGTGTTTGAAGATGACATATCGCAGGTGCGCGTCCGAGTGGACAGCCTAAAAAGATCAGATTTGGAGATTGTTGTCGTGTGTACAAGTCTGTCTGACAGAAGGAAAAAAAATTACATTTCGTGTTGAAATAACACGTGTGGGGAGTAGAGGCAGTTGGTAAGAGCTCAGCGAGGGAGTGTGAAGGAGAGGAGAACCAGGAGAGAAGTGTTAGTAAGGGAAGGTGAAGTGACCCTCAGGACAACACCGCCCAACCACGCCCTCCAAAGGGGTTAAAGTCCCTACCAACACGGTAAGTTCTATTTAAACTCATTATGTAAATGTACAGTAGTACTGGTCATTTTGGAACATTTATGCCATTTACAGCCCCCCCCCTCCATGCATCCAGTAAGTACTATTTATACATACAGTATAGCTTGGTTACATAGATGAATTGTAACTTCTAAATATGTATGTGGATAGAATATTTCTGGTTAGTCTTCCAACTAATTTGGAACACGAATGTTATTTACAGCCCCTGAAATAGGTAGTGTACTATTTACTGTCATTGCAATCAGTAGTCCCCTCAAGGGAGGCTCCTTGATGCTGGTGAGGGGCTCTAGATTCAGGGAATTGGATTTGTGCTCCAGTTCCCTGAATTAAGCCTGAATACCTTCCACATCCCCCCACAGGCGCTGTATAATCTACGGGTTTAGCGCTTCCCCCTTGATTATAAAAATGCAATCAGTAGTGCTGCAATTGGTAGTCTACTATTTGTAGCCTCTGCAATAAGTAAATAGTGTACTATTTACAGCCTCTACATTAGCTAAGTAGTGTACTGTTTTCAACCCTTTATCATACGTAAATTATTATATGTACAGGAGGTACTCATATCTACATTATTCATATATTGGATGAGGTACCGGTAATTATATACATTTTTAAATGCTTCAAAAATCTTTTAAAATGTAATGTTATTCATTAGATGTGAAATAATTTGACATTGAGTAAATGTTTTCCATTCAAATTTAGTTGAGAAAAAATATCAGTATATAAGTTACAATTTAAAATTTACAATTAAAGGTTGGTACACGTGTAGAGTCGTTCATCCTAGCCTTTTATGGGTTATCCTAGGTAATTTACATTGTGAAAATTGTACTTATGTGTACCTGTGCCTAAATAAAATTGCTTACCTGTCCTATAAAAAAAATTATTTCATAGGGCGTTAAATCCGTGTATTAGTTTACCAATGAAAATAGTGGAATTTGTTATGTCTGTTTAAATATACTAATGTTAGGTAACCTTTGTATAATCTGGGAGATATACACCAGCTTAACTTACCTGATCTAATTTACCAAGCCTAGCCTTGTTATTATCCACGTAATATAAACTAGCTGACCTGCTGTCTTCAAGCAGGCACTGAACAAGCACCTAAAGTCGGTACCTGACCAGCCCGGCTGTGGCTCGTACGTTGGATTGCATGCAACCAGCAGTAACAGCCTGATTGATCAGGCCCTGATCCACCATGAGGCCTGGTCACAGACCGGGCCGCGGGGGCGTTGACCCCCGGAACTCTCCAGGTAAACTCCAGGTAACTTAACCTTGGTATGTGCTAGGTAATACAGACCTGTTTAGCTGACCTGACCTCCCGTAAGTGGTTTCAAGGAATTGAGATATTCTCCCCTTTCTTACAGTAGACCTGATTGTCTCCCATTTCCCAGCCTCTTATGACACTCAATGGGGTTTAATGCTTCCCCGTAAAAATTCGGCTTGGTAGGTACGACACACAAACACAGTCGACCTGGCAGCACAGGAGGACAGGAGAGAGAGACATGATAACGACTTATAAAATACCGATAGGAATTAACTGGGTAGATAGGGACAGGATGTTTCAGAGGTGGGACACAGCAGCAAGGGGGTCACAAATGGAAGTTGAAAACTCAGACGAGTCACAGGATTGTTTCACTTCTTTCGGAAGTGTGCCAGTCTGGTGGCATGTAGTGGGGGCAGAATCCATACATAGTTTTAAGAAGAGATGATAAGGCTCATGGAGCAGGGACAGAGTGGACATAGTAGCAACCAGGGAAGAGACGTTTCAAATAGATGTGAATCGACCCCTGCAACCAGAAACAGGCAAGTACACATCTTAGACCAGAGGAAGCTCGAACCTACCTTTGGGACAAAGTATGCACCACGCCATGCCACAGATCTGGCACCCAGTGAACTAGGTGTTTGCTCCCGAGTCGGTGGTACTAGGCAGCCATCAGTTTTTTTTTATTTTCATTCCTACGTGTACTGGTCCACATGAAATAATAGTGCTTTTAATTCGCAAAACAAGCGAAATATTTACGAATATTTATCAGAGACCAGAGGAGTCCTGTAGATTCGTCTCGTCAGAGCTGACATTAATTAAGGACCAACACGTGATAGAGACATAGTGCGAAACGTGGCGAAAAGGGCACATACAGGAAAAGGAGGCGTTTGTTATTTGGACGTTTCACCCCCACAAAGCCTCAAGTATGTGAAACATCGTACTTATAAATGTCTCGTGTATGTGTGGTGTATGTGTGGTGGTTAATGCTCTCGCTTCACACGGCGAGGGCCTGGGTTCGATTCCCAGCCAGAGTAGAAACATTGGACGTGTTTCTTTCCACCTGTTGTCTATGTTCCCCATCAGTAAAATGGGTACCTGGGTGTTAGTCGACTGGTGTGGGTCGCATCCTGGGACACTGACCTAAGGAGGCCTGGTCACAGACCGGGCCGCGGGGGCGTTGACCCCCGGAACTCTCTCCAGATAAACTCCAGATAAACCATACTTCAACCACAGAGCGAAACGTTGTTCCAGTAGACTTCGTCGGCAACTTGTGTCTGTCTTCAGTGTGTGAAGAGGTATGGTTTTTGTCTTTAAATATCCTGGGATGGAACTCTTCAGTATTCAGCTGATAGCCCGGTCCCCAGCAAGTACTGTGTTGAAGTCAAGTAGGACGGCTGAAGGCTGCATGAGGCTCTTCCCAGGCGCCGGCTCACCATTCTTTTAGGTACTGGAGGGCCACTCAACTACGGGTGGAGCCACTTAAGGCATTGCTAGACAAATCAATTCAAGGCTGCATCATTTAAACCAGACCTGAGGCCCTTAAGGCAGGGCTGGTCGGCGAGGCTATTGGGGTTCGCCCCTTGTCTAAGAGTGACCATCCCTGCTCCTGCACCCACTCTGGGGAGTACATCAGCACAACTTCGTGTTATATTCGCTAGCGCCTTCTTCCCACCGCACCCCAAGGGTAAAGGAGAAAAAAAAAACGCTCTTGGCACACTTGGACAGATACGCAGTATTACCAGCCAGGTATATCATGATACAGGGTGGGTGGTGTATTTGTCTCACTCTTCTCTCCAATGTGCGAGTCTTAATGATGGTCAAAACACACACTTACGCGAGATAAAGTGTATCATAATTGACGCCCTTTCCTGGAGTGTCGAGGGTGCGTGGTGTCTGTGCACAGATCACATACTTATCAAGGTGCCTACGGTACATAAGTTAAGCTGTAGAAGGACTAGCGAGACAGTAATTGGAGCATGTTTCTTCGTATAAATATATATATTATATATATATATATATATATATATATATATATATATATATTATATATATATATATATATATATATATATATAATATATAGAAGCAATCACAACCTTTAGAAGGGTGTTTCCATTAGTTTCGTCAAACTTGTTATGACAGCATTCAAACCTCGCACTCTGAATCAGTAATCAAAGCTGTATGAACGCGTTTGCATATCCTATAATATTCTTCCCAGTAATGACCAGTGAAGCATACAGTAGCCACCCATCTTTCAAGTACACACTGCATGTTCTTATATATTAGAGTACGTCAATTAAATATTACTCTTTTTAAATTAAGTTACTTCAACTTATATATGCTTATTTTTGTAGAACAAGCGATATACAAACATTAACTGCCATCTCATACGCTGTCATTCCATCTCACACGTTGGTGTTCCATCCATCACTATCTTATATTTTCAGTCATCTTATCATAGAGTCAAGAAGCGGCCACAAAGGTGGCTTAAAACAGGTGGAACCAATCTTCATCCGTCGTGGATTACGTAGCGTAGCATCTGATTAACTGTGGCTTGGGCCATATGTAAACAATATCAGGAGGGATTTGGTGTGGTTATAAAGAACCAGGAACTCTGCTACTTGTATATACAGCCAGGAAACATACTGCTGTTCCATCCAGGGAATATACCACTCTTCCAACAACCACACTTATTTGTGATTGTTTTATCTTTTATTCGATTACTATCGCATTTTTATTAGATATATAAGGAAATAGAAATTCAAGTGGTCAGGGCGGGCCATCGTACGCTAGCGGACGTCATTACTGAAGCCACTCAAAGCCAGCCATATTCTGCGTTCAGTAGGTTATAGCTTGTATTCAGTAAAGTTATACACTGTCTGCCTTCGGTGAAGCAAGTCTGCATTGAGTAATATACTATATACGTTAATTCTCTCTCTCTCTCTCTCTCTCTCTCTCTCTCTCTCTCTCTCTCTCTCTCTCTCTCTCTCGCTCTCAGACACATCGTCATGACAACCAGAATCTCAGTGCAGTCTCCAAAGGGATTTGATTCTCTTTTTTTTTTACCAAGTGTTGAGGCGAGTGAAACCTGTCTTCCCGTGGGGGTATCGAACCCCCTCTCACGCCTGGTGAATGAGCAGGCCAGATAAACTCACTGAGAGTTTGAACCCCAGAAGCAAATCAAAATTAATTTGGCAAGATCAGCTTGCAACTGAACTTACAAAAGTTTTAATGACTTTATTACTAGGGTGTAGTGGACCCCCAGGAAGTATTTACAGACACCTGGTAGGTAGCTATGTATGTAGGTAGGTAGATAGGTTATTATAAAAAAAGAAGCGCTAAACCGTAGGTAGGTAGCTAACCTAATGTAAATCCTCCATAGGTGTACGAAGAGAGATTATGTACGGGTTGTGGAGAAAGTAGTTTCTAAGTTTTCCTGACTGTTTTAATCACCGGTCAACATTATGGTGGTTCCATTAACTGTCAGTACTACACTGGTTGTGGCCTGGAGGCGAACCTGTTACGTATGTTACTAATTCCAAGGATCGTGGACCCTGCGACCTGTTCTCAGACCAGGACTAAGAAGGTTTTTAGATTGTTGCCCAGATTCCTGGTCTGGGACCGGGCCATGGGGGCGCTGAACCTCGAAAACATCCTTCAAGTATCCAGGAGCGAGTTCGTTTGTCAGTACCTCTCATCCTGTTTATCTGGAGTGTATC